TGTGATTTTCATTAAAGCAAACGTGTTTTCGGAGGTCAAAAATAAAATTTTTTGCGCGTCAAAAATTTTAAATATTTTAATATTATTTTCTCTCCAAATCTCGAGATAAATGATTCTGAAGAGTAATGCATGCTGAACACAAATCCAGCAAAATTTTTTTTCCGTTGATTCCTAATATTTTATGAGTAATCAAACTTAAAATCTATGTCTGGGGCGAAGTCGTCACCAAGCCATATCATGGAAGCTTCGGGCAAAAATCAAAGTCAAAGAAGCCAGCAGCGGTAGGATTCCGGCGAGGACTTGGATAATATGTGCTGTGTGTGCTCAGAAATGACAGAATAGAGCTGACGAGAAACAGTGCGTTTCGTGCGAGCGTAGGGCACATAAGTGTGTGCGCTTTTCTTGTAATTATTTTCCGCCATCGTGTTTTTAATTAATGTTTCCATTTTTCTATTAAAAAATGATTAATAAAATGTATCCTATCATTTTTCATGATCAAAATTACAAATTTTCATTTAAAATTCAGTCCGAGAATGGAGTAACGACTCCGCCCCGGCAATTTTGACATTTCAATTTTTGCACCTTTGTCGTTTTCACTCTATATCAGTTGAACAAAGCGATATAAACCAAAAATGTCCGTATAAATTTTGTAACCAAGGGTTCACTCTTTACAACGGTATACCACATTTTACTAAAATTATTTGTTTTGTTGTTAAAAATTGGCACCAAAAAAATAGTGACGACTTTGCCCCGGTCTCTCCTACCCAAAGATTAAAAGAAAAGATATTTATATGTATACTTTAATAATACTTTAATAATACTAGTTAATAATACTTTTAATAATACTTTTATACTTTAATAATACTAGTTATTCGTTCATTTGAAAAATTATCTTATAACACGGTAAAAACAAAAGTTTTTAATAAAACACGCAAACTTTTTTATGTACAATATAGTGACACTTGAATAAAATTTGGATGAAAATCTGGTTTAACAGAATAAATAAAACTTAAAATTACATGGAAATTTGTTTCGTTTCTGGCGATAATTTAACAATTTTAATATATGTGTTATTAAATCGTAATCACATATTTTCAATTATCCTACTTTAATCTCAATGCAGTGTTTTATAACTTTCGTGAATTTGTAATTAGTGACAGAAATTCGTGTATACTATAATATTCTACAAAATAATTATTCAACACAATCTGCGTAAATTCGCGTTGTTCCATGAGAATTTAGCCAAGTTGAGAAACGCGCACGATTGAAATTATGGCGACAGACTCTTAGTTTCTCTATACGTATAGCGCTTTACGGATCTTTCCGGTCTTTCTAACGCGCAGATTCAGAAGATGGGGACGGCTACGGAATAGAAAGTAGACGCAATCTCTCCTTGGAAACAGTCGGTTATTCTTGGAATACCCCGCAAATTTATGGTACAGCGGTGAGAGGAAACTCTGAGAAGTTTCTCGTCCCGAAACTTATTAATTAATAATCCCGCCTTAAAGACGATGGAATCTCTCGACTGCGTTTAGCAAAACACTTGGTGTACTTTATCGTGCGATATTTAATGAAGAAGTGCGAGAACGATAATGGAATAAAAGAGGCAAAAATTCAATAAGATTAGAGAAACATGTAATAAAAACATTTTACGTTTGTAATTCAAGCACAGTCATATTATTGCGATATAATGAACAAACACAAATAAGGCGTATGTATAGAAGTAACAGTAAAATATTTTATTTTTTCAGAATTATTAACAAGGGAAACGCCGTAATCGGTCGGGACTTGATCTTGATTGCGTAAAATTCGTACGTAAAATTCACTAAAAAAAATAATATTATGGGCAATCGAGACCCAGACCTGACCGATTACGGTGTTACCCTTGTTAATTTGATTTTATATCTTGTGTGTTTACGGTCGTATTTTCACTTACAATTAGAGTAACTGGGGGGAATATGCCAGTGTGGGGAATATGCCACTCGTTATGTTTAACAAAGCTACGGCTAGGAGCGTTGTTGTAGATACTGTAAAATTGTTAATAGTTATTTGTGTAACAAGTGCTGTAAGATGGAAATTGGACGTGCGGGTGATCGCAGCCGGAGGCGAGTGCGATCACCCGCACGTCCAGTTTTCAACTTAACACACGTGTTACACACCCTATTTTATGTTGCAAGTGCGTGGAAAGTGGTCTATCACGCACGCGTCGCGTGCGTAATGGGCCACTTTCCATGCACGTGTGACATGAAAATATTATATCTGATGTTTCGCCCAACTTTTACTTACTTCCTGTCAGTATTATAGTTTTTATGGGGTAAGTACAGTATGACAAGTATGACAACGTGCTTTTTAGAATTTTCTTAGTGTTTTATTGAAATTGTAATAAAAATATTCTTTACATGTTTTTAGACAAGAATGCCCTTCTAAAGTTAAATTACTATACATGTTTGTATATGTGGCATATTACCCCCACATGGGGGTAATATGCCACTTTTGCAACACTTTTGTATTTCTTTCTTTTTAATAGTAAAGAATCAAAATATTTTATTAAAACCATATATAAATAACAGATAAAAGAAGGAAAAAGAAGACCAGTATGCAAAGATACCTCAAAAAGAAAGAGAAATAGGAAAAAAAATCATATTTTTCTTAAGTATGACATATTCCCCCGAGTTACCCTACTTATTTTTCAAAATTGTATTGAAAGCACACATTTTGTATATCACTGCACATTATTTCTAGATAAAAAAGATGCAATAAAAATATGTTTAGCATTTATTATTCAGTTTAAAGTATGAAAAACTCGAATAAAACTTACTCAAATCCGTATACATGCAAAAAATTTCTTCAACTTTAGAAGGTAAATCTTGAAAAGTAACTGTGATTTCCTTATGCATGCAATAACAAACACAATAAGTGTAGGAACAGCAAAAATAACGATAAAAGGTAGGCAGAATTCTAATTCCATCTTCCGCCCGGTTTTTCGATCTTGCGCGATTGCTTTTACTGCGGCAAGAATGGAGGCGAGTTGAATCGATCGAGGCC